AAAGATTTTTAAAACCTAGCTAATACATGCTAGCAAAACCAGTTTTTTTTTTTTTTTTTTTTTTTTTTTTTTTTTTTTTTTTTCTAGCAAAACCAGTTTATACTTGAGAGAGAGAGAGAAACTGGATCTTCTACTATTTGCTGATCCAAATTACATATTTCGAATGGTGCAAGTTTTTCCAAGTAATTAAGTAAAAGTTGTAGTCTTTCCATTTATGGATCATCGACTATTTGTTCTACTTGGCCACTATAATCGTATTAAACGACCAACAGTATGCTTTTTAAAAAAATACAATAAACAGTAATTTAGATTCTATCTTAAGAGTTAAGACTACACTGTTTTTTTTTTTAATACAAAAAATATTCTACTCTTAAATTTTCTTTCTTTGTTAAAAAAATTAAAGTTGACAAAAAAGTATTTAGTTGACAAAAGAATCCAAAATAACCCATAATAACTATGTCATTTAGTTACAGAATATTTTTGAATGCAATTTTCGTAGAAGAAAAGTAAAGATATAATCAATTGCTCATTGTAAAATATTATTATGTCCGCATGAAAGAGTGCACGGTTGACAATTTGACATAATATTGGATTATGCAACCTAAGACAATTCTCTAAGATGTATGAACCAAATCTGTGAAAAAGTAAATATCAAATTTGAAGGTCAAATAGGTGAATAATAAGATATATTATATTTTTTTGATTCAAGAATAAATTGAGGAAAAATATATTAAAAGTTAGCCACAATTACTGGAGATGGTGGTGTCAGTATCTTTGAAATTATGAAGAAATTTGTCCCTCTTTAAAGTAAAAACCCACAAATTATGACCTACTTTCAAACACCATATATTTCTCCATAAACTTGGGGTCTTAATCAATTAATTATAAAAACAGAATGTACATTAACATTTTCTTTTTTTCATTGACACGAAAATTTTAGAAAGACGTTATCCTATGTCAATAATGTTTCAGATTCGGGTAAAAAATAGAAAAATATACAAATATTTTGAATTAAATGTAATAGTTATGATTTTTTCTTCGAACTCACAGTTCACAAGGCTACAAGTGTCAGATTTGATGCATTGAAGATAATAACATTTTTCGTAGGTTTTTTTTATTTCTTAAGTACGTACTCCCTCCGTTTCGTTTTAGTTGTCGTTTAAGTTTTTTCACACAAATTAAGAAAAGCATTTAATTTTCTGTTTTACCCTTTATTAATATATTTTATAAAAAATTTCATTGGCCAAAACATTAAAACAGTAGGGATAAAACTGGAATTTTCACCAAACATTTGCATTGAAAACCTAAAACGACAACTATTATTAAACAAAATTTAAATCCTAAAACGACAACTAAACTGAAACGGCAGGAGTATAATACATCGTTCCTAATTTCTTATACATATTTTCAACTGGATATATCCGATAATTAGATCGGCATATGTTTTCAAGCTTTCAGCAAAAACGATCACAGTAAAAATAATTTATGATGGAATGATCTCTTTAAGGATAAACTCCAATTCCAAAAAGGCTATAAAGTATGAATTAAACAATCAAGTAATAGCCATAATGATTCGAAAATGGTAAAGAAATAATTAACATTAAACAAGACTCAAAAGAGCATGACGTAAATATTACATCAAGTTTACGTATAAACCCCTTCCCTCTCCCTATTTAAACCCAACATACATATGAAACTCCTCAACAAACTTAAATACCACATAACCACTAAAACACACACACACAAAATGGCGTTTACGTTAATAATTATTAACGCAAACGCGTTTCTCGTGACTTTACTATTACTATCTCTTTCTTACATTCCATTGTCTTCTTCCACTATGCAACAAGACTTCGTGATGTGTCTAGTCGACAACTCCGACGCTTCGTTTCCAATGGACTCGTCGTTCTTCACTCACGACCTAAACGCATCTTCCTTTAAACTGGCGTTAGAGACGTCAGCTCAAAATCTCCGTTACTTGATGCCATCAAATCCTAAGCCAGAGTTCATTTTCGAGCCGCTTTACGAAACGCACGTTCAAGCCGCCGTTCTTTGCGCCAAGAAGTTGAAGCTTCACTTGCGGCTAAGAAGCGGTGGTCATGACTACGAAGGCCTCTCTTACGTCTCGGAGATGGAAACTGCGTTTGTGATCGTCGACTTGTCGAAACTTAGACAGATCAGTGTTGATATAGAAAGTAACAGCGCGTGGGTTCACGCGGGTGCTTCTATTGGAGAGGTTTATTACAGGTAAATCCTACGCTAATTTAAGAATCAAAAGTTATAATCTTTTTTTTTATTTCGTCTTTACACCGAGAAACTATTTATAAGCTACACTAGTACTTTTTAAAATATTTGGTTTACTTTATATATAATATAGTACAAGCTATACTTACTTACCGAAGAAAAGGAGGAAGTTACATTGATTTTAAAAATAATCGAGTTTACAAAGTATTAAATTTGGTTACTTCGGGGACACTTGATTTTTCTTCTATAAAGGTATCATTGTTTTATTTATTTATTTAAAGCTATGGAGAACAACCTCGTAAGTTTTCATACTAAAATTTTAAACTTTAAAACAGAAAATGGTTCAAAAATTGTGACTTTTTTGGGGATACGTTGCCACACAGAACCAAGCAGACCAGAGATATGCGGTAAATCAAACCAAAATTTCGGCTAACCAATTGAAATATTACGATTTTGGTTCAACCGGTTGGTTTATTCCGTTTTCGTTTGTTCTTTTTTTTTTTTTTTTTTTTTTGTATTGTATTGTTAAATTGGATTTATAGAAACAATATGTAATCTTTGGGGTTTTTGACTAATAGATTATAGGTAGGTGAAAAGAGGTTGATAAGTGGTTTTATTCTTATAACCAATTTACTAAAAAAACACTAATATGGTTAAGCTGTGGTTATGACCCGGTTATTAATTGGTTTATCTTTCATGACTTCAAAGGATCCAAGAGAAAAGCAAAATCCATGGTTTTCCGGCGGGTTTATGCACCAGCCTAGGCATCGGCGGTCACATAATCGGCGGAGCCTATGGCTCAATGATGCGTAAGTTTGGTCTTGGAGCCGATAACGTCCTCGACGCCAGAATCGTTGACGCTGACGGCAAAATCTTGAATCGCGCGGCGATGGGAGAAGACGTTTTCTGGGCGATACGAGGCGGTGGCGGAGGAAGCTTCGGCGTTATTCTTGCCTGGAAAATCAAACTCGTTCCGGTGCCGGAGGTCGTTACGGTGTTCACTGTCACGAGGACGCTTGAGCAAGACGGAACTAAGCTTTTGTCCAAGTGGCAACAAGTTGCTGATAAGCTTGACGAAGATCTCTTTATCCGTGTGATTATTCAGCCGACGAGCAAAACTCCGAAGAGCAAAGAAAGAACTATCTCGACTTCGTACCAAGGCCAATTTCTCGGCGACGCAAATAGGTTGTTGCAGGTAAACTAATGGGGTCAAATTTAAAATTTGTGATAATTAGGGGTCTATTTGGTAATTTGTGAAAGTTTGGTTATGATAATAATTAAGTAGAGAAGTTTTGATCATGACAATAACAACCCCGGTTTGTTTGACAGGTGATGCAAAGGAGTTTCCCACAGCTTGGACTAACGAAGAAAGATTGTTTAGAGACAAGCTGGATCAAATCGGTAATGTACATTGCGGGTTTTCCAAGCACTGCGCCATCGGAAGCTTTACTCGATGGGAAATCGTTGTTCAAGAATTACTTCAAAGCCAAGTCAGACTATGTGGAAGAGCCAATTCCAATAGAAGGATTAGAAGGGTTGTGGGAAAAGCTTCTAGAAGAGGACTCACCATTGACTATATGGAATCCTTATGGAGGAATGATGGCGAAAATTCCCGAGACAGAGACACCTTTCCCACATAGGAGTGGGACATTGTTCAAGATCCAATGGCTCACTTTGTGGCAAGATGGGAAAGTGAGCGAGGCGAAGCATATGGATTGGATGAGGGAAATGTATAGTTACATGGAGCAGTATGTGTCGAAAAGCCCGAGATCCGCGTATGTGAACTATAGAGATCTTGATTTGGGGAGGAATGGTAAAGGGAGTGATGCAAGAGAATGGGGGAATAAATATTTCAAGGGTAATTTTGAAAGGTTGGTGCAGATTAAAGCTACGTTTGATCCTGAGAATTTTTTTAGCCATGAACAAAGTATTCCTACGGAACTTGAGTGAATTTGGAGGTAGACAATAATAAGAGTGTGTTTAAGATTTGTCTTAGAAAAGACTTGTTACTTGTGTTTTTGTGTCTTTTTGTTTTTAAACATGATCAACACACTTGTATTTCAATATTGTTATCCAATCTAATCCCTTATGAGTTCTTAAAATTAAGTAATGGCAAATTTGGCTAAACCAAATCAAATCAAATTCGCCTAAATGAGAGTTGGGAAATGGCAAACTTGGTATTGTTCATCCACCGTTCTCATCTTTCTAGAACTATGCTTTTCATATTTAAACACACCTCTTTTCAACAATAGTGATAGGACATTGTCTTGCATCACTAAGACACAGGAGAATAAGAACAAGACGAAGAAGAGGAAGATTGCGAAGGTAAGTTGTTTATGGACATGTCAAGTGAAGATGCTAGAGATTTCACAGTATGGAGGCTCTTTTCAAGAGCTGAAACAGATGCAACATTTCTTTGGCAAGTTGGGATGTTTTCAAAAGTTGGTGTTATTGGAGACAACAATAACAACAGTGAGTTATTGCGATCAAATCTGCTGACTCTCCCCAGAATTTCTTTGAAATGCAAAATCCAATTCATCTGATTTTTTTCTTTTGGTTTGATGGCAATGTGAAAGTATTTTAACATGAATATAATTGTATCACTAAAAACTAGGGGTGATTTTATGAGGAATAATAAAGTATGATTTGAGATTTTTTTATGTTATGCATGATGGATACACTTAACAATAACTGTTGGTTATTTCAATTAACCAGTATTCAACGAACAATTCTTGGGTTCACCCCTAGGGAACATGCATGTTCAACTCTTAAATATTGAAATAAAATAAAAATAAAAATCCAGAGTTTCCCATGCCCTCTTACATTAGGATCCTTGAAATGTAGTTAAATGATAGGATCCTTAAAATGGGCAATACTCTCGACATGTTGAGGTGCGATGCGGACATGGCATTCACCCTTGTCTACGAATCCAGAAGAGCGCCTAAATTCTTCATCGTCTCCGATTCCTAGGAGCCTAATTCTTCTGACGTTTGTTGTTTCAACATTATAGTAGAAAATGTAGAAGGGTCTAACATCGAGTGATAACAACTTTGGGGCCATAATAATCTCACCAGCCTTGTTGGTGCCTGGAAAAGACATTTTGATATCCCCAACATCATCCCACACAGAGGAGGGAAACACACATGTTTGCTTTGACCATTCATGTTTCTCAACGTCTTCTAGTATCCATAAATCAAAACTATGGAAACGACCAAAAGGGAATCTCACAATGGACGCTAGCTTCCCTTTGTATTCTATGAATATTGCTTCATTCCCCCAATGCACGACATCTTCAGGAGCTTTGATAAAACTTATCTTCTCAGACCTAACCTCAAAACACACCATAACTGGATTGATAGGTCGGTTTGGGCTATAAGCACCATAGTAGACAAAACCATCGATGCATACTCCCACTGATATCGGGCTATAAGGCGCAGTGGTACCTTCGATGTGTCTCCATCCTTGACCACCTCCCCCTAGTGTTAAGACCTTGTGCTCTAGATGATCACTATGATTTATCGACTGCACTAATAACGCTTTGTGTTGATCATCAATCGGATCGTATCCCACGAATCGGGTGTTAACGGGTAACTTTATGACTTCCTCCGTGCTAGGGTTACATATGACCTGCCGAAATTCAGCGGTAACAGAGAGAAAGCCGTGGACAGATTCACAAGACCCTGAGGAGGAACTAAAGCTCACTGATGGTATTGCAATCACGAAATTGGCTAGCAAAGAAGAATTGTCTCCTTCATGTGAAAACGAGAATAAGAAGATAAGCTTCTCCTCAGGCTTATTGAATAAACCATTACTCAAAGCGACTATAAAACGAGATCGCGTCGACGACACAGAGAAGAAGTAATCGATGAATCCTCGGCTTCGGATGATGGAAGACCACATTTTAGAGACGTGTTTGAGATTCGTAAGAGACTTGGCAGGCAATCTAGTAAGTATAGCCATCTTTAGATCAAGAGGGAGCGAATCTATCTCGCTAGGGTTTGTGTCTTTCTCATTATGATCTCCAAAACAAACCTCAGATTCCACTCGGCAAAGGAGTTTCTTTTGGTGGCTCTTCTTCATCTTAAACTTGGCAGGCAATCTAACCATTTTTAGATAAACTGGGTTCGGATCTAACTTACTTGGGCTGCTGCAGAAGCAGAACCTGTATTTGCCTTTCATGGCGGCTCCCGACGAAACCTAGAACTCGACTTGGAGAAGATTAGATTGTATCGCAAACACCTAGATTTGAGCTAGAACCGCAACATTCTTTTGATTGACACATACACAAATTTCCATAATTTTTATTTACTTTGAAAAATAAAACAGTTTTCTCAACTTATCCACACCTCCACGATCGTTATCAAATTTTGATTAATAGATTTAGCAATTTTTTCGGAAAAAAAATAACAACCTTTCACAATTTCTCTCAACTCTCTCCCATTTACTCGAAACGATAGATTAAAGAAAAATAAGAAGATGGAAAAATAAGCCTTCGATGCTTGATTTTTCTTTTTCTAATCAATCATTAATGCATTTCATTTTTCAATTAAAAACTTTTTTTGGGGAAAAGAAAATTGTGAACTTTTGTTTTGCTAGACCCAAAAAAATACAAAAAGACGTTTTCTTTTTGTTGAACCGATCCTATCCACAAAACACCGACTTAATCAATTTCCTATCCCTGAATTGTTTGATATTGGTTTGATATATAAAGAGTTACTAGATTTTACCCCGCGGTGTATCGCGGGTCAATTTTTTTATAACTAAAAATTATTTAGCAAAATTTTAAGTTGTATTTGTTTTGTTAATATTGTTTATTTTGTTTAGTGTTTCTGATTTTATAATTAAATTTTGATTTTAAATTCTAAGATTTCATCCATAGTATATTGTTTAATATTAATATCGATCTAAACCCGTTGCACCATATAACCCCGTCCCGTAAAATTAAACATCATTTTTTATTTTTTTTGAATAATAGTTTTATCCACTACGGGTCGCAGGTTCATGCGGATAAGCCCGTGGAGAGTCGCGGGTTTGCGTGTCGACCCGCCAAAAGAGAAGCTATCTTTTGAAACCTTTTGTTTTATTTAGAGGTTTTGAGAAAGTATCCCTAAAAAATAATTTCATTATATGAAAAAAAAAAGTAGAAGAAATTGTAATATCAACATTCCCGATTTTTACATCACTCGTTACTATTAATTTTTTTCTTTTTTGCAGATAAAAATCAGAAGTTAACTAAGTCGAGATTTTTAAAAAGATTTTGTAGAGATCTTTGGTAAATTGTTGAGAACATATTTGATTTCAAAATCTTTACTTAAATAGATAAGGAAAGATTTTGTACAGACTTTTGCTAAATATATGAGAAATGAATTTCATTTAACAATCTTTACTTAAATAAAACAAATCTAAATAATTAATGCTAATGGCATGCCATTGTAAATACTTCTCAACTTCAGGATTTATTTGCTAATTGTGATACAAAAATGTATATATAGATATATACCTTATAGAATAGAGAACGTATAGTTAAAAACCCTACGTGGAAACTCAACCCCTTGTCCACCATGAAAGGCAATGACCAAGAAAATAACAAGGACGATCCTAAAAATGGTCCTAGTCACATAGATTCGATCCCTTTTGATGTAATGATTGATATTCTCACTAGGTTGCCCGTAAAATCTCTCCTAGAGCTCCAATATGTTTCGAAGACATGGTGTTCCATCATCCGAAGCAAAGATTTCTTAAATTTGTTGGTCTCTATGTCCTCGACGCAATCATCACGACTGCTTATATCATTTAAAAACGGTCGATTGACCGATAAGAATGCTGAAAACCGTATGTTCTTCTTTACCTCTTCACAAGAAGAAGATTCATCTTCTTCTTTAATAGCAAATTTGGACATGACAATGGCTTCAGTGGACGCTTATTTTTACACACGGTCAACGGGTTCCGTCAACGGCTTTATCTGCCTTTCACATAAAGGTAGGTTCATGATATGTAACCCTAGCACGAAACAAGTTATAACCTTACCGGAAATCAAAATCACGGGTACTAATTGGAATTCCGCTTATAAATACTTGGGGTATGATCCGGTTAATCATCAATACAAAGCAATGCGTAAGAAGGTTTCAAATTTTGAAGATGATCAAGAGCACATGGTTTTAACACTTGGCGGTGATAAAACACCTTCATGGAGACATATTGAAGGCATTACTCGGAATTATCACCCTTTAACAAAGGGAATAAGCATCAATGGGTTTGTATATTATGGCGCTTCGACTCCAACACCAAATTTGAGTAAAATAATAGTGTGTTTTGATGTTAGAACAGAGACGCTAAGTTTTATCAAACTACCTTCAATGGACGGCATATATTGGGACTCAACTTCAACTTTGATAAACTACCAAGGAAAGTTAGCTAATGTTAATATTGTCAACTCGTGTGATAAATATCTTGTCTTTGATTTATGGGTATTACAAGATGCCAAGGAACATCAATGGTCGATGAAGACATGTTCCTTGCGGCATGATTCTCTAGGAAACGTTCCAATATCTTTTCATGGCACCAACAAGATGGGAGATATTATTATTACCCCAAAGTGTTTACCACGTGGCCTTGGACCTTTTTACATTCTCTACTACGATGTAGAAAAAAAGGAAATTAGAAGAGTTCAGCTTAAAGGATTTGGAGATGATGAAGATTTGAGGCGTCATTATGGAATTGCGAACAATAACAATGGTAATTGCCTTGTCTATATCTCACCAGAACAAGGTCAAAACTATACCTTTTTATAATGTGCTTTTTCTTTTTTAAATCTCACGGATTTTTTAACACTGTCTCAATAAATGTTATTTTTACTATCATCTGTATTCTGTAATAGTTATTTTACGTTAAATATAGAATCAAAGATATTCCAACTTTAATTTTGTAATTTAGTTTATATATTTTACTTGCTTGAATCATACGTAAGTTTTAGGGTTTGAAGTTTGTTTATTGGTTTTCAGATTTGTAAATAAAATTGTAAAATAAATTAACGATTAAACTTTTGGATTAAAGATATTGGGTTATACGGTATTTCAAAGAACAATGATTAGTAAAAATATATGAAACAAGGAATTCAATAATGAAGAACTATCCTCAAACATAAACACAAGTTTCAACTAATTCTCTTTCAAGATATTAACTACTAAATTTGAATACTCGATTACTAAAAAATTTCATTTGTGATTTTTTAATCAAATTCGCATTACCAAACATGTTTACTTATCAAACATGTTCTCTTGGTTCACAATATGTTCCAACATCAATTCTCATTGGTTAGAAACACATTCCTCAATTTACATTCATTATGGCAATTTTTTTTTTTTTTTGGCAAATCATTATGGCATTGTTCAACGAAATAGTCAGGTTCTTCATCGTGATGATATAAGATTGGAATCACTCCAAAATTTAGATCACTCGGTGATCACGAGATTCCAAGCTTAACTTGCGGAAGGTGGAATTCACGAGCTGGCTTTATCGCACTCTCTCGGAATATAAGGGATGGAATGATGAAAAGGTAGAGATTGACTCACTCAATCAATGGACAAAACAAGTGATTTGAATCTCTCAAATAACTTATCTTGCAGGCTTCAATAGAACTTAGAGAATCACTCAATAAGAACTAGAGAACAAACAACACAAAGTAACTTTAGACTTTGTAAAGGGATTGTCTTTGATATAATGTAGCCGTTAGGCTTGAATGCTAGGTGTGAATGCGCCAGAATTAGAAAGTGCTTGTATCTTGATATCTTCTTCACATATCCACGTTCTAAGAGCCTCTGGTTTATGGAGAGTCTCCCAAAAGTCGTGGTCTTCATTGGTTTAAATGTATTTAGCTGTTAGAGTGCATGTAAGGCAATTGAGTCTTGATATGGAAAGTCTTGGTGTATGAATGGCCAAGATTGAACCCACTTGATCCAATGGATGGGAATGAGGCTTGAGGTGTTCTTAAGAGCCTCTAGTTGTATTAGAAACTTTCCTGGACGCCAAAGTTTGGTTTGCAAGTGACTAAACCCGTCAGCTTCCAAATAAGGCAAGCCGAGAATCAGCTGGTTTAGAAAATTAATATCTTCTAAACCAAAATTGTTTTTGACTTGATTCCAATTTGACGAGTTCCTCTGATGAGTCAAGAATGTATGAAAATTCACTTCGTAGCTTAAATCCTTCTTCTCTGGTCGGAATCCTCCAATAAGTAGTTGTTGGTCTCCATCGGGTTCATTGGAAGTCTGCTGACTTTTAACTTGAATATCTCCCTCATGTGGAAAGATTTTGAACCAATTCCACCTCTCCGTGATTCCTTGATGAGTTAAGTTTCTTGAATAGGTTGATTTGTAGCCTAACTCCTCCTGGTTGGGCTGATATGCCCCAAATAAGACACATATGTCTTTGGTACCCTCATGTTTGTTCTCTCCGGGGTTCTTGGTCGGTGTTTTTTCCATGCTCCTTGGTTGATGATGACTTGATGTCCTCATCACATTGTATCTAACACTTTTACGCATAGAAAAACCGATCATCTAAAACAGTTTGATCATTCCTATTATAACATTAAGAAAATGTAAATCAAAGAACCTAAGGATAAAGAATTTCTAATGACAATTAATTCACTAATTCATTGAATCTTCTACTTAGAACCATAGAACCCAATTATGAAACTACTCACACATAGTAAAAGAGACAAGACAAAAATATATGAAACAAAACATGATTCCATTAAATAAATAATAAATACTGTGAGGTTAGAAATCTTTTCAAACTGTCAAAAAGATGAATCTCTAATCCAGAGTAGTTGTTTATAGAATAACTCTTTGAAAAATTGCAGAAAGTGAACGTAAAAAAGAAATAAAACCGGTAAAGAAAAACCGGAATGGGCGTTGCATGCTACACTATCGATCCGACAAGTGAACCGATTGGTCCCGGAGTGTCTAGAAAACAATCGTCGACGTCGTGACACAGGATCGATCGATCCCAAGCTTCTGGATATACCCTTGCTCGACGGCTGGAGTTGGACCGATCGATCCGTTTCTTGGATCGATCGATTGAGGAGCTTCTTGAAAAACTCTTGTTTCGACTTAGCACTTGCAAATTTGATCATCATTGTCCTGGACTCAAAATGTACTTGTGATGCACAAGTTGTTGTTAAGTTGGATTTGTTTTTAAGGTTTATGTCACTAAACAAAAGATATTGTTTGATATGAGTCCATCCCGAATCACTTTTATGGTACCACCAAACCATAACTTTTGACACTTGTATGAAATTTAATTTTCTTACTTATTATTCCTTTTTGGTTTGAGTTTAGGTTTTACAGTTTGGAGAAAACAAAAATCATCACCAAACCAAAGCTATCTAAAAATAGTGTAACAAAATTCAACAAAGACAAGTAAAAGCCCAAGGGCAATACAAGAAAATACCCTTTGATTTTTCTCTTTAGTTCTAATGCGTTACAAATGAAGGGGTTGAAGTATTTCTAGCTTCCAATACTACATATATTTATCCTGAATTCAATATTATTCTACCACAACATCCAAAATTTTATATTAAATTTATCTACATAATTTACAGTAATATCTATATATTTTGTTTATAAAATTACTAGATCTTGACTCGCACGTACGTGCGGGGTTCATATTTTAAGAAATATATAATAATAAAATTTTAGTAAATATAGATTATTTTATTATTTTGGTGATATATAATGTAGTATATAAATTATAATGTACTGGATCAAACGTTGAACCTGAAAAAAAATCCATATGAATACGGTATAATTTAAATACGTAATTGAGGAGCATAAATAATGGAAACTTCTATTAAAAAAAAAATAGAACCAAACATGATAAGAATATAAGAAGAACCGGAAATGAATGAACATCATAAGAACATGAAGTAATTTACTTTTAAGTCAGTTTTATGTATTGAATTCCTTACGATCAAATCTCTCGCTTTGGCCAATAGACAATAAAAAAGAGAGATTAAAATGTGTTTAACAGATACAAAATTAAATATATGATAACATTTATGAAAATATATTTTCTTTCTGAATGGATCAATAAGCGACTTGTGATCTAGTGTTGACCCTAAAACCAAAAACCATAAAAATACGCATAGGAAGTTAGTAAAATTGGGAGATAAACATCATAAGAACATGAATTAATTTACTTGTAAATCTTCATATATTGTTTTAAAGAATCAATTTTCTTAATTAACTGTGAGATAATCAACATGGACGTATGCACAAATGCATAATATTCATAGGAAATAGATTGTACACAAAATTAGGTTTTATTTTGTGGATTCAATCTTTACCAAAAATAAATAATCTTAATTACATAGTTTAAATTTATGATGAAAAAAATATTAAATAAATCTAAAATTTCCTATGATCTCAATGATTTTGGTATGTTTCCATGAAACTTCTCCTTATGCATTATCGCAAATATAGTAATTATGATTGTTCAAATACAATTAATGAGCTGTTAAAAAAATCTTATTAATGTTTGTCTCCAAAACAAAATTTATTCAAATTTAAAAGAAAAATAAGAATATTGGTGTGAATCAATATTTTCTCATTTTTAAATATTTGCATTGAAAACTTAAGACATTGGTATTTAAATTATATTTTACTGTTTATTGAAAAAGAAAATAATCAAATTTAGAAGAATGTATATTCCAAAAGCTTGTAACAATTTGATAGGAAATAAAATAATTTATTTGATTTGAAATCTTTTAATTTATTTGGCTCTAAATAAAATAATTTGGAGTTATAGTAACTACTATAATACGTTTTAAAAATATATTTTCATTTATATAATTCAAATTTAGTTTAGTGATATACATATTTAAAATATTGAAAACTACACGTTTTTAAAAAGATATGTCAAAATTTATACCATTTATATTCTAATTAAAACGTAAAATATTTTAATATATACTGGAAATATTTTCTAGATATTTACAAATCTAAAATGCAAAAATTATTTGTTGAATATGCTATATATGAAAGGATGGAAGTATTTAGTTTAGATTATATATGACCAATATACTAAATGTTTTTTCATATTTAGAAAATCAAATTTTAAAATTGTGTATTTTTCATGTGTACTAATCAGTATTAATTAGCATGTTTTGTTAAGAAAATCTTATAAAATTTAAACTAAATAATATTTGTTATTAAATTAAATTGCCGTTTCTTTTTTTATTTTCTTTCTTCAAATTAAAAAAAAAACAATGGCATTCTATGTAATATTTTACAACTGAAAGGTTTTACACCAGAACTCTTCATTGACTTGGTCACTTCCTCCGGCATCATACATTAAATGTAACTTTGATGCAAAATTCAGTTTGCAAACAAATCAAACACATGGTGGATGGGTTATTCGAGATCACGTTGGAACTACGAAAGCTTGGGGATCCTCAAATTCAGGGGCGGACCCAGCCAAAATATTTATCCGGTGCAAAAAATGTTGTAAAGAGGAATTGAACCCTCCACCTCATATTTAAGGGGTGCAGTCTTTACCACTAGACCACTTTAGATCAATAAATGCTATATATAATCAAAACATTTTATATTTTAACCGGTGCAACTGCACCCCTCTTCCCCAACGTGGGTCTGCCCCTGCTCAAATTTACAGGTGGCCGGATCACCATTAGAAGCTGAAGCAAAGGCGTTGCTGTCCGCAATGCAACAGACTTGGTGTCGAGGTTTCACGAAGGCTCATTTTGAAGGAGACTGCGAAATTCTGATTAACAACATCAACAATGGTCCGTCGGACATCAAGTTTTGGGCAACCAAATTTAAAGAAATCTGTTTCACTTTCATAAATCGGAGTTGTAATAGTGTAGCTCATAAGTTAGCTCAGTTTGGTAGTATAAGATCTTCTTTTTACTCTGATAGCACTAATCCTCCTTCTTGGATTGTAAACGATTTGTACTCTGATCTTGGGAATTAATAGAAGTTTATTTTGACGCAAAAAAAGAAGAAGGTTTTTTTATTATCTAATGATTCCCAATTAATAATATAGATTTAAAAGAGTTTCCAGAAGTGATAGGATTCTAGAAAATTTGGGATCTAGGAGCATGGTGAGAAACTTTGGGATTTTTTGTTTCCATCTCAATAAATGATATTTTTACTACTTAATCATATGTAATGGTATATTTTACGTTAAATATAGAGTCAAATATATTCCAACTTTAAATTTGTAATTTAGTTTATTTATTACTTGCTTGAATCACACGTAAGTTTTAAACTTAATAATTGATACAATAACTTTGACAGTCAAATAGTAATTTTTTTGCGAAATGAGGCTTTATGAGTGTCATTGGTTTTACGCCTTTACGGAAACACTTGAGGGATACTTGGGGTAGAAGGCATCCAATTATCGGACTCATCGAATCTCGGAGCGAAGTGTTGGGAAGGAGCAGCCTGATCTACGAATGGAAAGGGCGGGAAATCGGGTAGTGAAGGCCAAACCGGAACCGATAACCTAGGCTTCTCAGGATCAGAAGATGCCGGTGGTGGAAGGAGAGCCAGATCAGGCAGAGGCGGCGGTAGGAGAGGAAGATCAGGCGGAGGCGGTGGTGGTGCCACTGCTTCTTGGAAAGAAGGGAAGTCAGGGAATCCAAGGTCGTGGACCGGTGTACTACGACCGGAAGATGGATAATCATCGGCTCCAATCTGAGCTACTTTAGCTGGGGGTCTCGCTAGTCGCGAAGAAAATGTTTCCTTGGGGTTTTCGAGTATGAAGAAAGTTAAAACGACGACGTATCTAAGCACAAGTGAAAGTGATGCCATTGAGTATTAGTGTGTGGGTGTTGGTTGATGTTTAATCTTCTCTTTTTTGTAGTTTTAGGGTTAATGAAGATTCAAATTTATAGTTTGAATTAATTGGTTGACGATTGTGGTTTTATTTGCATTGTGTTCCTACTTTACACCAAAGCATATGCTAATAATTTTTATTCAAAGTCAAACGTCATGTCAACGAGGAGTGTTTTGAGTTTTGAGCAAGATCGATATAGATAAAATCGAAATTTATTAGGTCAACGGCAAGGAATAATAACCTTTTCGCGCACACTATATGATTTTGTTTTCATATAACCAAAACCAAAACCAAACCGATTGGGGAAAAGAATAACCGATTAAACTTTAATTTCTTCTAATTTTATTATATATAAAAAAGTTGCTTAAGAACCAAACTGAAACTAATTTGCAGTAAGTGTTTGTTTCAAAAAGTTAGGACATAAACAATTCAAAAGTTTATAATAGATGTAAAATCAGCTAAAATTCAGATTATTTCTTCTTCTAGCTTTTTTTTTTTTTTTTTTTTGCTTTATTGATAAATTACTTTTGTTTGATAGTTTATATTTTTCATAAAAATAAATCAGATGTTACGTTAGGAGAAAATCATATTGATAAAACTGGTTAAAAAGAAAAGATCATTCATATGTCAGTTTTTCTTAGCTTTATATAGTGTACACATACCACTACTACTTAAGATCGTTAAAGTGGCAATAGAAACTATTGAAGATGTGGAACCGCCAAATGAGAGACTCAACGCCAAAAGTGCATTTGTTTACATAACATATAAGGACTTGGCCAATGATCTGACTGGTGAGCCTGTTGAACGCAAAGCTATAGTTAGAAGTGTCATTGATGAGCTTTTAGATACTTATCTCTCAAGGGTGACTTTTTGGAGTAGAGAAAAAGCTAGTTAGGTGCTCTAACAATGGGCACAAAATGAATATATATATTCACATTTAGGAGTTAACTTTTACAACTTTAAATAGTTCTTTGCTTCTAGATGTATAACTTGAAGAATGTTGAATTAGAGACAGATCTGATCTTTTAAGAAACCTTGAGATTTAAAACACAAAACTCTTATCAAGAGATGACTTGAGCTTACTTGTGCTTTGTAATCTTTTACTGCCAATGGCAAAACTTCTGATCCAAAATTGGTGGCTGCAATCGCGACCTGCAGAAATACAATAATGATTATTTTTGAATTCTTCACACCAAAAAGGGATGTAATTCTTGAGTCCAATGCCAAAACAAGAACATCAAAACTTTAAAGCCGATAAGAACTACTAAAGGTCACACAAACTCCAGAAATCAACAAATCAGAACCAACCCCAATTGAGAGACTGATCCAATTAACTGTGAAACTAAAAAGAGAATTTTGATAGAACAAATACACTAACCTAGCAAGGCCGTTATCGAGAATTGGTTGATCTTCAAAGGTCCAGTCCGTGGCGATTATTTATCATCCCGGAGCAATGTATGTTAAGACAAAGAACAGAGAGGTTGGAAGATTCCCTTTCTAAGTATCTATCATTGATGGCTCCAGCTCTCCTTCTGCTTTGTTGATCAACATCTACAACATTATGAAAATGGAAAGAATGATTTTACATCATATAACCAACTTCCAAATCTTAAGATCTTCAAATAATTATAAATCTGATGGAATTCTATAAATAGTCTGAAGAAGCTAAGGCATCACACTTTATATATGAAAATCACAAAAAGGAACACGAAGAAAATCCACTCTGTTTTCACAACAAGTTCAGAGCTGGTTTTGGCTGCCACAAATCAACCAAATTATTTTAAAAAGAACCATAGTAAGAGAAAAAGAAAGGAACAACTAAAATCATTTTTCCCTACATCTCAAAATCTATTGAAAACAGAATCACAATGCTCTTGTTCAATAGTGCCTCAACGTGTGATGAGAGGACTGGTTCCAAGAACAAGAACAAGAACAAGGACAACTGTCACATTATTTCTAACTTTTTCCAATCATATAACAGAAATAATAAAATACCTTTCTCCTGAAATTAGCTTAAGTGATTGAGGTTTCCACTATAGCTTCAAAGTAAAAGCCATATCGAATGACTAGAACCTAATAAATGTATTCCTTGTTCATTTCTTTTTGGCATTCGTAGGACGATTTTCCGCTTGTGGTTTCTGCTCCAGTACTTCACTTATATCTATAAAAAAATTAGCACCATAAGTACTTGCGTGGGAAACCCACGGCTAAGATATCAGTGAGCAATCTGCTTCCCTTAGATTTTCAACACTGTGATCTTACCATATTGTAGTTTTCCACCAATTGACCTTGAATTTTTGTGTACTTTGGTTTTTGTGTGTTGGCTGCTTTGAACTATTTATTTTTGAAAACGATAAGTGAGTTAATAAGAGTCAGATTAATCACGAAACTAGTAATAGTATAGACTATAGAAGATTCATGTCGTATCATAAACTACTCAACTGTAAGAAAAGGGTTATATAAGAATACATAATACTTTTCTAAATAACATTCTAAAGAATCTAAGGAGAGAGGTTGCTATGAATTATATAGGTAACATCAAATGGTAGAAAAGATTTATACTAAACAAATTTCAGAAAAGTATAGAGTGATTTCATTTCAAATTCGGATGTCAAGAGTATAAGGAAAAGTTTCTTACTGTTGTTGGAGAAGACTGGATTAGAGGTAGTACATCGTGATCGTATTGCCTTTTTTGCCGCTATAATTCGTCGCCTTTTTTCCCTTGCTATATGAGTACCGATAGATTCTAGCATAAGGTAGATGACATACAAATTAGAGAATTTAGGGAGTATAGATTTTCATGATTTATATGGCTGACATTAAAGTATAGAGTGGCCATGATTTCTAAGGATATTTTCACTTATGATTAGAGCTTTAACACAATTTGAAACTTCTCGGATATAGATACTACACACACATACACACTCCATAACGATAATTCATTTCACATTCAGGCGTTAAACTAAAACTCAAAGTTTCTTACCTTTAATGGGGGAGACTAGATTAGATTCAGAATTTTGACATCGTTTTGTTTTTTTATCCGCTATAATTTTTCGTCTTTTTTCCCTTGCGCTTTTAGCAACCATAGAATCTGGTAAAGTTATACGATATATGAATTAAATCAGCTCAATAAGTTCCAAATATTGAACATAAATCTAAAGAAAACAAAAGTTACAATCTGATTGTTTACTCAGGAGATTATGACCAATTTCATCTAACAAGAATCCAAACCACAACCTAAACTAAACAGGTAGGACACAGAATTCATTATTATCATAAGCATGTGTTACAAAAATCATTTCTAACTTAAGGGAATACAAAATCCAAGCAGATCAAAGAAATGCTCACTTGTTAGACGCTTCTTAGGGTCCTTCAAAGCATTGACAGAAGAAGGATCCACCTTAAATCCACTTTCACTCATATTGGCACCATTAGCTATTACTTGCAACAATAGCAAACGAAATCCCTGGACATGAAATAAAAGGGGACCTTTTCAAATCATAAGTTTTGAGTTTCTAGAGACTATATGTGAAAGTAAAATCATAATTTCTTCTCTGTGAATACTAGATTCTTCCAAATTGAGAGAAGTAACCAAATTCCATCAATAAAAGAAACAAAAATCGAACCCAATTCACCAAACCTAACTTCAAGACTCCAAAACATTTGAAAACATTTTCAGACATGGAAATCAGTTCAGAAACACTAAAGTCTGTTCCTTTAACAATTATAGACCAGAGCACGATCTTCTCGTTCTCTTGGCCACTGAATTAGAAGCTACTTACACATCAGTAACCATATAGATTCTGGAAAATTCTCGTTATCTCGGAAAATGAATCAGAAGCCGTCACAAATTATGAAATCTCTCGAACAAACCCCATTCGAGAGAATTGACTAATATAATTGAGTTTAGTACAAGATCTGCACTAGTTGCCAAAGAAGGGAGATATGCGACGTCGTTTTGGACACTATGTATTATGTAAGATAATAATTGTCCAAAATTAACGTCAAGACTCAAGAAATTAGTTTATGGGCTTTATGGGCTTCGACCAAGTAAAGCCTTTTAAGCTACGATATCTGGTGAAACAGACCACGTGGAGTTATTATGTTTCGTCTTTATGATTCCCTCTGATCTCTTCTTTTACAAATTATAAAACAAAACAAAACAAAACAAGTAGAAGAATCTAGGTCAGCCGTCATCATGAAACGCAAGGAGATAGATCATATCCCTCTTGATCTAACGGTGGAGATTCTCACAAGATTACCAGCCAAGTCTCTTTTGAGGTTCAAATGCGTTTCCAAGTTGTGGTCGTCCATTATCCAAAGCCAAGGCTTCATCGATTCCTTCTACTCCATTTCCTCTACACGACCACGGTCTATAGTCGCTTTCACCAACGGTTTATTCGCCAAGGATGAGGACAAGCGTTTTTTCATCTTCTCGTCTTCACAAGAGGGACATGAATCTTCTTCTTCTGTGATAAACAATCTCGATATCACAATACCTTCTTTAACCGTTTGTAATAACCCTGCGTCACGGTGTGTTTCCGTCAATGGTTTTGTGGCCTGTTCACTTAACACAGGGCTCATGATATGTAACCCTAGCACTAGACAAGTCATTGTCTTACCAATCTTACCCCCACGTCACGCTCCAAAAATGAGAGGCAGATGTCTAGGGTATGATCCGGTGGATGATCAATTCAAAGCTTTGGCTCTCATTTCTTCTCGCTTACCTAATAATTATAGTGTAGAGCACTTGGTGTTAACTCTAAAAGGTGATAAAAAAAAGTACTCATGGAGGCAAATCCAAGGTAACAACAACATCCCACCTTATTCACCTGTAACTATGAGAGTATGCATCAACGGGGTTGTGTATTATGGTGCTTGGACTCCAAGACCAAGTATGAATGCAGTGATCGTTTGTTTTCATGTTAGATCCGAGAAGATAACTTTTATCAAAGCACCTAAGGATGTCGTACAATGGTGGGCTGATTCGAGTTTGATGGAATACAAAGGGAAATTAGCTTCCATTGTAAGATACCCTTATGCTCGTTTCGATAGTTTTGATTTGTGGGTGTTAGAAGATATCGAGAAGCACGAATGGTCTAAGCAAACATGTGAGATTCCTCTCTCTGTGTGGGATTCTATTGAGGACGGTAACATGTCTTTTCCAGGTATTAACAAGTTTGGTGAGATCATTCTAGCACCGACATTCTTGTCACGCTATCATCATCTTCGACCCTTCTACATTTTCTACTACCATATAGAAACAAAGAACATTAGAAGAGTTAGGCTTGAAGGAATTGCAGATGATGAAAATTTTAGGCGGTGCTATGGAATTGGAAAGAATGTTGGTCCATGTAAAGTCTTTATCTCACCGGAACATGTTGAAACTATAAGGTTTTTGTAATGTTTTTTTTTTATTCAAGGATATGTCCTATTTGCTTTTTTAGTTTTTTTTTTTTATATACTCAACATATATGTGTTGATTTTTAGGTACCAAACAAATTGTTTTAGGTACTCAAAATTTATGAATGTTATTTTCTTTTCTTTGCTCTGTTATTTTTATTATTTTAACTGTTAAATTGATTGGAAATTCTTACATTTGTATAATTGTATTCGCAACCAAAACATTCTTCCCCAACGTATAGACACAACTGAGTGGTGGTCCTAATGAGCTTCTTTTAATATAACCTTGCAACTTAACTACTTCATTGTTATTATAACGGATCCTCTGGTGACATATCTTTTTCCATGGCAATGAATAGTTTCTCTCATATGCTGTATATTGCTGCAGAATATAGAGATTCTAGGTACCACCATGGTTCTTTATAAAGAACATTTCGAGGATTTCCATGAAGCCATCAAAGCCCAATTACTTGTAACTCACGGAAGTAAGAAACCTTCTATGGGAGACTGAAAATTTTTCCAATGTCTTTTTTTATTGAACAAAGAGTTATTTGGATTGTGGTTATAATTGTGGACTATTCTTTTATCTTATACAAAGTATTACCAGTTATAAACTTCACAAAAATGAATAAATCTGATGAACTTGTCCAATGACAAAAACAACCGATTTAGGTTTACTAAATACGTATCTACCTCTATTTATTAGTGATTCTGTGGTTGAAAAAGGAAACTTCTTTGTCGAGTATATAAGATCTAGCCATCTAGATCATTGTACAAAATTAATTACTTAACTCTATCGTCGAGTCGATTCTGTAGGGTTTGGTTGGGAGACGCCATGAAACGCAAAGAGCAAGATCATAACGAGGACGATGAGAGCGATGGTAGCAGCCAAACCAACGTAGATCCGATTCCTCTTGACCTAGAGATTGAGATACTGACTAGATTGCCGGCAAAGTCTCTTATGAAGTTCCAATGCGTGTCAAAGATGTGGTCTTCCATCATCCCAAGCCAGAGATTCATCGATTCCTACTACGCTATTTCCTCCACATCACGGTTTATAATCGCTGTAAATAACGGTGTTTTTCCCAAGAATTGTGTCAATCTTTTGTTCATCTTCTCATCTTCCTACGAGAGAGAGGAATCTTCTTCTTTGGCAACCAATCTCCATATGATGATACCTTCCGTTACTTTGATTTGCTTCTCCACATGTTTCTGTCCATGGCTTAATTTGGTGTACTAGGAGTGGTCTGTTCATTGTCTGTAACCCTAGCGGAGCACACACATCCTTCGGATAGGATCCTTTGATGATCAATTCAAAGCATTGACCCAGGTGTCCCCTTATCCTTACCAGGAACCTGATTTTCTAGTGCACGAGGTTTTAACACTAGGAGGAGGAGAATCTTCATGGACACACAATAACGTTACCACCCCGGTTTACGACACCGCAACTAGAAAACTAAACTATGCATCAATGGTTTCGTGTATTTTGGTACTTGGACCCCAAGGAATTGAATTGATCCGGTGATTGTGTTTGATGTTTAGACTCGAGAGTGAATCAATTTACTAATTTTGCCCTTAAGTCTTATATATACAACTCTCACATAAATTAAAAACAAAAATATATTAAAATTCCAATTAAAAAAAGAAATAGTCAAGAAAATAATCTTTCCAAACTAAATATACGACAACCTTACATTAAAAGTATAAAAAAAATCTATATTAATAAAGGCATTAATCTTTGTTGATAAAAAAAGGCATTAATCTGTATTATATTAATAAAAAAGCAAATTGTATTTCATAAGATACAAGTAGGCGAGGTTATTTGTTAGAGTTTTAAAAATTGTGGAAGACTTATAAATTGGAAGTTTGTCTAAACTAATATATGTGGTGATTTAAAAAAAAATACTCTATAATAAAAGTGAGTAGAAAATCACTCAACTCAATAAGTACAAAATCTAATAGCAAGGTGATAATAAAAATCTCACCCAACTAATAATAATTTATTTTCATCCTTAATATGGGTCTAGGCAAAGTCAAAGAGTCGTAAATCCGTTATTGATCTCATATTCTTATTTCTGAACCAAAGCCAAATAACATCGAACCAAAAGACTAGATAAAATAGATTTTTTGAAGGAAGCTTTTAAATTAATCAAAATCCCGGTTTGACCGGTTATCTCTAACCAAACCAATACGACTCATATAAGCAGAGATATATATAAGGGTTAATTACGGGCGAGACCCATGTTTTATGTTTTTCTTTCAGGTTTTGACAAAGTGGGGAAAGGCTTTCACAGATTGACAATTATGTCAATTTCAGACGAAAATGCCCTTCTAGCTGAACCGGTGTACAGCGACAGCGAACGAAATCGTCAGGCGAGTTGGTTACGTACACAGTATCTCGTTAGCTACAGTTGTTTAGTTTTTTAATATTTCCGTCTGGTGTACAGTGTACCGCGAACAAATAAAAGAAATAAAATATGGTGTCAGAAATGGTTTAAATGCTGAAAAAGTTGAGACATGACTTATTCCAACTATAATCAATGCAAACTCATCATTACATCTTATTTTAATCCTCTTAAATCATAAAATCGTACACTATTTAGATTTTATAAAGAGAAATAAGAAAAAACATAAACTTCCCCTAAATATCTATGAAGGAATGAGATTGAGGCCATTTTGATCTTGTTGTTTAACAAAGTTTGCAGGCGAGAAAGCAGTGACCGTGGTAAGTAATGAAGTTGTAAATATAAATTTTAGTTATTACATACACTTTCAATGAAAACAAAATTGATTTAGATACAAAATTGCAAGAAATTGATTTATTCCTCTCTTAATTCTATATTTGTTCTGTAGTAAATATTAAATGAGGAGATTCAATGTGCATTAAGTGTGTAGTTGCAAAGTCTTTTTCTAGTTGGAGGTATAAAAGTTGTTCTCAGTTGCATTTAATGGGGTTCTCTTGAATTTATGATGCAGGATGTTAATGGAGATTCCAGTATTTATTATGATTGGTGATTGGATAGTAACAGAAGAAAAATAGAAATTTGAACCTGAAAAAGGAAGCTATGGTCGGTGTGTACGTGTTAGGGAAAATATGACGTACACGGATTTGGCACGTACATTATGTGAGGTTTTCAATTTGAAGTACAAAGAATGGCAGCCAATAATTAGTTACTGGATGCCGGAAAATATGTCAATTATGATAGAACGTACACGCCCTCCTGTCAACATTGACAATCAAATGTGCTTGGATACATTCTTCCTGATTCGTGTTGGGGATCCAAGTGTCAACTTGTTTGTGTCTTTCAATAGTATTGTAGCTGCCACTAATGCGGATGTAGATGAGCAAACTGACATACATGATGAAACAACAAATGAAGATTCAGAGGATGAGGAGAACGAAGAGGTGGATGGGGAAGAATTGAATGACAGCGACGAAAACATTGAAAAAGATGACGATGTCAGTGGTGGCTATAGTGCGGGAAGTACTCTCGACCCTACTATAGACGGCAGTGAAGGTAGTGGTGAAGATTACGAGTATAACAAGTGGAATAATTTTATTGTAGAAGAATATGGAGTTGGCCATGTTGAGGAGGAAGTGTGTGACACTCAACCGACCGTGGAACCGGCAGGGGAATTCAATCGTCTATTGGCAGAGTGTACGAACACAAGTCAACGTGTACGTACAGGAGAAACCACTGCGATTTTTAGTGACACTCATCCAACTGTGAATTTAACCCGGACGTGTCAACATGGATTGTTCCCATGTACGTACACTAGAGACTGTGTACAAGACACAGGACGCGAAGGTGAATTTTTTACGTGTCAACATGGATTGTTCCCATTTCTTGGTTCATTACCCTCTCCAAAGAATTTGTACAATCCCTCTAATCTCGTACCATGTATGTTCCACTAAATATTGTTGTATACGTATAAGAGATTTTTAGGATGAAACTGTTTAGTTGGTCGTGTACGTGTACGTGTATCTCAGTGTAATCATAATCGTGTACGTTTACAAGTTAAGTTTGAAACCTTATTTCTTCTCCAGCAATAATAAAGTGCAACATAACATTCATTAATTAATTTTGAAATACAAGTTCCATAAAAAAGACTATAATACTATATCAAAACAAAAATAGCGTAATTAAAAAATATATCATATTAAATATAAAGCATTTGGCTAACTCGCCGTGCACACAACCATAGATAGCAAAAATTGCAAGAGATTCTTATAAAATATCGAACATGATGTAATATTTCATCACACATGGCATATGTTTAATGCCACGACAATCAAGAATCCATAATTTGAATTCTTACATATCGTACAACAATTTTTTTTTGCTGATATAGAATCCATAATTTGAATTCTTTCAAAGTATATTGAGCAATATTAGTCAAATTAACCTAGGTTCATAATGTAAAAAACATGTAAATATTACAAGTATAGAACCTCTATAATTGTACATAATCTAACAGAGATATACGTCCACAACATCAATATTAAGTATACTTACACGGAAAGATGTTAAAGGGACAAGTATACAACAAAAGTTACAGAAATTTTCTCCCCAACCACAAATTGCATACATACACAAAAATGATTTTTGAATAATTTAGTTTTGAAACAGTACACCATTCAATTCTTTTGTATTTCAATCACTTTTCTGTAAGTTATTCCATATACGTACACGAGTTAAATGTAAATTAAGATCGTGTACATGATAAAAAAGTAGAAATTAACACATTCAACATGGAAGTGTGTTTACAAACAAAAAAAAAAATTCAGATGACCAACTAATTAGTATTATTACATGTGTACTATATTTTTCATAGTAACATGTACGAGTAAACCGGGCCTTGTGGCCTAGTGGTAAAGGGGTCACAGCTGTGACTTCCGCCACCAGGGTTCAAGGCACGGCCACTGGCAGGTTTACATAGGGGAATTGCCAGCCTCGTGGGATTAGTCTTTGGGCCTAGGAAGCCTTTGGGAGACCCGCGGTTATTCAAAAAAAAAAAAAATACATGTACGAGTAACCAATTAATATTATTTTCATGTGCGTGTTATATCAAAAATCAAACTTACTAATTAGAGTAGTGATATAAGAAAATGAAATGTAAATGCATATTATATTTGCATGCCGTTTAGTACCATAGACAAAATTTTAATTCTTTTTATTTATGTTTTAAGATCTATTTTATTATATTTTATTTTTATGTGTATACACCATTAAATAATTCGTATACATATAAAACATTTTACACCATGTATATTACCAATATTCAACCAAAACATGCAAAACATATACGTTTATAAGTCAATATTTGTATCGAATATATTTCATGTATGTCTATCACTAAGCCATATACGTTCACAACAATATTGAACTAACAACCAGACTGGTCCTTACGATTCGGAGAATGTAAAATATGGGATATGCACTTTATTTAATGTGTTTCTAGTTTGTTGAAAAATAAATTATGAAAAGAAAACAACTAAATATGTTGTGGAGGTATGTTGTGAAAATGTTAATCAACGAAAAAACTCCTTGTGGAGGGTAATGAACCAAGAAAACAATCCAACCTGCAACCCTTCAGATCATACAATAATATTATCCTCACATATTGAGTCCATACTTCTAATTTTTGTAAGATATGTTGCGAAATATTAATCAAATTAACCAAAATTTTCTAATATACAAAGTCTGTAATATTGCGTACATCGTCTCCACAATAGTACATAATCTAACAGACATACACGTCCACATAATAAATATTGCGTACAGCGTAAATTGTGTACACGTACACGAAAGAAATTCAAACAAGGACATGATTGTAATTTTGCAGTCATCTTCAACCTGAATATCCTCTTCTGCAACTCTACTTTTTGCTTTTGCTCTCCGACCATGTTCAATACATGCAAATCGATTTCACTCTCAATATCCCTCTTCACCGAGATTTGGGTCATGTTTACGGAAATCCAAATTTCCAAGACACGAAATTCGTCTTCTCGTTGGAGTCATCAACTCTGATACCTTGGAAATTTGTATTTTCTCCTCGATGGAAATCTTAAATATGTTTTTACTCGCTTGAAAAAGCATCAATCAAAGATGAATGAAAGATTTAACAAGTAATCTCTAAAACGATTACCTCTCAAATTTTCAGAAAATATCTTGGTGAGGAAGTTGAGATTTTCAATTTCTCTTTTGGTAGAATAATCAAAATGAGATATTAGATTGAAGAATGGAAACGGTAGAAGAATCAAAATGAGATATTAGATTGAAGAATGTAAACGGTTTGTACTCAGATTTTTTCTCCTCTTTCTCTTCGCTTTCTTCGCCGTTCTTCTTCGCTTTATTTAATTTAAATTCAAAAATAATTACAAACCAAATAAAACAAAATTTGAGAAACCGAACCAGCACAGTTACGTTTCTAGTTGAGGGACATTTTCGTCAGAAATATGGCTAATTGTCAAAACGTGAAAGCCTTTTCCCACTTTATCAATTGGTGAGACAAATATTCATTTATGTCCTTTTATGTGAAAATTTCTTTATATATAATTCAGTTAACTGGAGCTCGTAACGAACTTAAACAGACTCCAAGATCCATTCTCTCTCTTCTCTCTTTCTCTCTGTTACAACTTCGCCGGCGATTTGATTCTCCGGTGGCCCATCTCTTCTTCTACTCATTAACGCCGCCACCGGAGTATATTCGGCCGCATCTCCTCCGTCACAGCACGCAACAGAATCATTCCCGCCGATATCCTCTACGTCGTCGTCGACCAACTCGGAATTTCTCACTCCGACGACGTATCTTCTTCCAACGGCGGCGCTACTTACCACATCGTTCTTCAACGATCTCCGTCGCCTAATTTGTCAGGTTACGAGCGATTTTGCAAACGGCGATACTGCTTTAGCCGATAGTCTTCGTCCTTCTTGGCCTCTCGTTGTCGTTGATGCAAGAGAAGGCCTCTGTTTCCATCGCTAATTCTAAGGAAGGTCGTTCTTGCTTCCTTTGCATCTGGTATTATTTGACTCTATAATTTCATTAATGGCGGGAAATATATATCTTCTTCTTTAAAGTATGTACTTCTTTCAAGATTCTTCGAAACGCAAGGTTTTTAGTATTCCATTAGTATATCTCTGTTTTCATGCAAGTTCTATTTATTTTTCAAGACTCCGTTGAAGTTTGTACGTAACTGCTGGATATCGCACATTTTTGATCAATAGGCTCGTTCTTGCTTCCTGTTTGCTCTGGTTTTACTTTGAACACTACATTCAAGCGACTGTTTCTGGCGTATTGACAATCAAGATTCCACTAACATTGGGAAACTATATCCTGTATCCTTCAAGGTTCCTTCAATGTTTGCAATGCATTTTAGTTTAGAATATGTATCTTTCATAAAGTTTCACATTAATGTTTCTGTATTGTATTTTGCTTTTCAGGTATGGCCGGCTTAGTTAAACCAAAATGTTTGCGATTTTCTCCCACAGACGATGAGGTTATTAGACTTTTTCTAGAGCCGGAGATCAACGGGGAGGCGAGAGATAATACATGTCTCATCGAAGACTTAGACGTGTATGAAAATCATCCTGATTTGCTCAACCACCTACCGAGCGACTACTTTCACAAAGGTGAATATTGGTACTTTGTACCCAGAAAACAAAAGGGATCGAACTTGATCAAGCGAACTGTGGGCACGGGCAAAAAAAACGGGAGGTGGGTGCATGAAAAGAAGATTCAGATTAAAGAGGAAGGTCGTATCATCCGGGAAAAGCAAAAGCTAATTTTCAAAGACAAACAAAACAGGCACTGTGGATGGCACCAGTACGAATACCGCCTCCCTTCTCCCCAAGTTCTGCTGGCTATCAGTCACATGATATATAAAGCTGAAGATGATGTCACGCTAGCTAATCCTTTCGATGAATCTTTACCACTTATGGGTACCTTTGGTGAAGCTGAAGCTCTGCCAGTTATGCAAATTGCAGCAGATATGGAGGGACCAGATGTAAATATGAATCCACTTGAAGAAGACGAAAATACTTTCGCAGCAATAATGAATGACTTCAACCATCTATTGTCAACGGACGTCATGGAGATTGATGCAGTTATGGAGGAACCTGAGGTAAATGCAATTCCAGATGAAGAAGAAGATGTAGCAGCTACTATACTAGCAATACATAAAAAGGCTTCTACAAGTTTTGTAGATTTGTTTGCTACCCTTGATCCTAAGCGCATGGAGTTGAGTTCTGCAACCCTATACGGAGTAGATTTGCAACAGTGATGTGAGCAGAAAGCCTGAATCACAAGCAAGCTACAAGAGAAGATAAAAAGACACAAATATGACTTTATGGGCCTCCCACTCGATTTGGGCTTCCACCAAAGTAAAGCCTTTAACGCTCATATATCTGGTCAAACAGGGAAAGTAGAGTGTTACTTATGTTTGTGTCTTTATCCCTCTGGCCTCTTCTTTTACAATTACAAAACAAAACAAAACAAGTAGAAGAATCTAGGTCAGCCGTCATCATGAAACGCAAGGAGATAGATCATATCCCTCTTGATCTAACGGTGGAGATTCTCACAAGATTACCAGCCAAGTCTCTTTTGAGGTTCAAATGCGTTTCCAAGTTGTGGTCGTCCATTATCCAAAGCCAAGGCTTCATCGATTCCTTCTACTCCATTTCCTCAACACGACCACGGTTTATAGTCGCTTTCACCAACGGTTTATTCGCCAAGGATAAGGACAAGCGTTTGTTCATCTTCTCGTCTTCACAAGAGGGACATGAATCTTCTTCTGTGATAACCAATCTCGATATGACAATACCTTCTTTAACCGTTTGTAATAACCCTATGTCACGGTGTGTTTCCGTCAATGGTTTTATGGCCTGTTCACTTTACACAGGGCTCATGATATGTAACCCTAGCACTAGACAAATCATTGTCTTACCAATCTTACCCCCACGTCACGCTCCAGATATGAGAGGCAGATGTTTAGGGTATGATCCGGTGGATGATCAATTCAAAGCTTTGGCTCTCATTTCTTCTCGCTTACCTAATAATTATAGTGTAGAGCACTTGGTGTTAACTCTAAAAGGTGATAAAAAAAAGTACTCATGGAGGCAAATCCAAGGTAACAACAACATCCCACCTTATTCACCTGTAACTATGAGAATATGCATCAACGGGGTTGTGTATTATGGTGCTTGGACTCCAAGACTACGTATGAATGCAGTGATCGTTTGTTTTCATGTTAGATCCGAGAAGATAACTTTTATCAAAGCACCTAAGGATGTCGTACAATGGTGGGCTGATTCGATTTTGATGGAATACAAAGGGAAGTTAGCTTCCATTGTAAGATACCCTTATTCTCGTTTCGATAGTTTTGATTTGTGGGTGTTAGAAGATATCGAGAAGCATGAATGGTCTAAGCAAACATGTGAGATTCCTTTCTCTGTGTGGGATTCTATTGAGGACGGTAACATGTCTTTTCCAGGTATTAACAAGTTTGGTGAGATAATTCTAGCACCGACATTCTTGTCACGCTATCATCTTCGACCCTTCTACATTTTCTACTACCATGTAGAAACAAAGAACATTAGAAGAGTTAGGCTTGAAGGAATTGCAGATGATGAAAATTTTAGGCGGTGTTATGGAATTGGAAAGAATGTTGGTCCATGTAACGTCTTTATCTCACCTGAACATGTTGAAACTTTAAGGTTTTTGTAATGTGTATTTTTATTCAAGGATGTGTCCTATTTGCTTTTTTTTTTTTATATATACTCAACATATATATGTTGATTTTTAGGTACCAAACAAATTGTTTTGATACTTTGGGATTTGCTAGATGTTGAACATAATAAATGATGTGTTGTCTAAAACCATAGCAATTTTAAAGAATACTAGTGATTCATTCTTAAGATGGGATGTAGAATCCTTTCTCAAAATTTATGAATGTTATTTTCTTTTCGTTGCTCTGTTTTTTTTCTGTTTTAACTGTTAAATTGACACAACTGAGTGGTGGTCCTAATGAGCTTCTTCTAATATAACCTTGCAATTAACTACTTCATTGTTATTATAACGGATCCTTTGGTGACATATCTTTTTCCATGGCAATGAATAGTTTCTCTCATATGCTGAATATTGCTGCAGAATATATAGATTCTAGGTACCACCATGGTTCTTTATAAAGAACATTTCGAGGATTTCCATGAAGCCATCAAAGCCCAATTACTTGTATCTCACGGAAGTAAGAAACCATCTATGGGAGACTGAAAATTCTCCAATGACTTTTTTTATTGATCATGGAGTTATTTGGATTGTGGTTATAATTGGGGAATCTTGCAAAATGTACCACTTTTTGAAAAGTGGCATTCAAAATCTACCACATTTTCAAAAGGTTTCCAAAATCTACCACATTCCAATAGCACATGCGGAATTGTGGACTAAAATACCCTTGATTGGGACAGAGTCTGTGTCAGGAACAGAGTCTGTGTCAGAGACAGAGACAGTTTCGTCCGGCGCTTCCAAAGAAGGAGCAGGTCTGCAATTAATGCTGCACATTTACATTTGCTAGATAATTGAATTTAATTAATAAAAATGATAATAGAGTAGGGTTAGACCATTAATTGCTCTTTTAATATATCAGATAAAAGAGGGGACAAGTTCAGATCGAATGAGTAATAGAATGAGATCGAGGACAAGTTCATATCGATTGAGTAATAGAATTAGATCGAAGACAAGTTCAGATAGAATGAGTAATAGAATTAGATCGGAGACAAGTTCAGATAGAATGGGAAATAGAATTAGATCGGGGACAAGTCAAATCGAATGAGTAATATAATTAGATCAAAAATTGAGCGTGATGATTTATATCATCCAATTCTCTTGACTGTCCATCGCCAGATGATGTAGTTTTGCCCGCCAGAGATCTGGATTTACTCGGGGACAACTGGAATAGAATTAGATCGAGGACAAGTTCAGATCGAATGGGTAATAGAATTAGATCGAGGACAAGTCCAAGATGACGATAATAGAGCAAGATGATGAAATCGGGGACAAAATCTAGAGACAAGATCTGGATAGAGAATTCTCAATCGGGGACAAGATCTGGAGACAAAAACGAAAGTTAATTGTTTAGTCTCAGGAGATATAATGTTTCTTGGTTAAAGCGCACGTGTTTCGAGGGAAGAGAGATAAATAGGGAGGGAAAATAAATATGGAGGAAAGATAAATAGAGAAGAGAAATAAATAGGGAAGATAAATAGGGAGGGCAAAATGGTAACTCTACTACAAAATGTGGTATGAGTTGAAAGAAAGGAAGGAATGTGGTAGATTTTGAAAGAAATTGGGAAAAAATGCTAGATTTTGTAGTTTTTCCTTATAATTGTGGACTATTCTTTTATTTTTTAAAAAGTAATACCAGTTCTAAACTTCACAAAAATAAATAAATCTGATGAACTTGTCCAATGACAAAAACAACCGATTTAGGTTTACTAAATACGTATCTACCTCTATTTATTAGTGATTTTGTGGTTGAAAAAGGAAACTTCTTTGTCGAGTATATAAGATCTAGCCATCTAGGTCATTGTACAAAATTAATTACTTAACTCTATCGCCGAGTCGATTCTGTAGGGTTTGGTTGGGAGACGCCATGAAACGCAAAGAGCAAGACCATAACGAGGACGATGAGAGCGATGGTAGCAGCCAAACCAACGTAGATCCGGCACTGATTGTTGAGTGTGATTAGAATTTTGCCATTGTGTTCACCCTTTTATCTTTTCTCTCAGGTTAATAAGGTTTATGAGACGTGGAACACGTTTTGAATGTTTAAAGAAATAAGCGTTTTGGCGGGACAAGATGATTAACACGTTGTCTTGGCCTATAAGGCGGGACGGGTGTTACAAATCTTCTTCTTTGGCAACCAATCTCGATATGATGATACCTTCCGGTAGCTTCTCTAGTGGCTCCTACTGTGCTTCCGTCCATGGACTTATCGGGTGTATTAGTACTGGTCCAGTTACTGTATGTAACCCTAGCACAGGGAAAGTCACTACCTTCCCTGTACGCACATCCTTGGGATATGATCCTATTGATGATAAAATTAAAGCGTTGACCGTGGTGTCTACTCCTTACAGGAATCATGATTTTCTAATGCATGAGGTTGTAACACTTGGGAGGAGGAGAATCTTCATGGACACGCAATAAGTTTACCTCCCTACCTTATTACACTGTAACTAAAGAAATATGCATCAATGGTTTTGTGTATTCTGGTGCTTGGTACCCAAGACATAGAATGGATCCGGTGATTATGTGTTAGATATGAGAGGCTAAGTTTTATCAAAGCGCCTATGGATGTTATTTCCTGGGAGGGTGAATCAATTTTGATAGAATACAAAGGGAAGCTAGCTTTCATTGTAAGACACCCTTATGCTGATTTCGAAAGTTTTGATTTATGGATACTAGAGGATGTGAAGACACATGATTTGTCCAACCAAACATTTGAGCTTCCTTTCTCTTTGGGGTTGGGTACAACTATGACCTCCCCGGGCACCAACAAGGCTGGCGAAATCATTTTTGCCCCAAAAGCTTTATCACCCGATGTTCAACCCTTTTACATTTTCTACTACAATGTAGAAAGAAAAGACATGAGAAGAGTTAGGCTCCTAGGAATTGCAGATTATGAAGAATTTAGGAGCCGTTATGGATTCGCAAACGATTGTTACGTCTCTATCTCGCCCGAACACATTGAAAGTATTGCCTCTTTTTAATGTGTTCTATTTATTACTTGAAGGATCTTAATGTAAGAGCTTAACAAATTGTGGGGTTTTTTTTTCAATCAATATTTAAGCGTTTGCTTTTTAACATCATGATGATTTGCATTTGCTTACCTATGGGGATCGTTAGTGTTGCTCTGTTTTTGTTTTCTTTTTTTCTAAATTTTTAAAAGTACGTATACAAATTTGAAATTTCAAAAGTATATGAATAGTAGCCTGGGCAAAATATTCGTTAGATCCGCTTCGATTCGATATTCGATTTGATTTGATTCGAAAAATTTGAATATTCGTAAGATTTTGGAACAAAGTAAATAGAAAAATGTAGTAATCGTAAAAACCGGAGCAAATAATAAATATTGTTTTTCAGATTACTGATTAGGTTTTCAACTAATTATGAATTTTGTTTATATCATTTATGTTGTGAAATGCAACAGCCAACATGCACCCACGTGCGTTGTAGTTAGAGCATGAATAACGGAGCATCTTAGCCCATATCTTAGTTAATTATATAGGTTTTAGCATTTAAAATTAAATCAAAAATGATTAAAAGGCTAAGAAGTAAATCTTAGCTTAGATGTTTTTTGTGTGTTAAGATGTGTACATGTGTCTTAATATAAGTGGGCGAGAAAAAAGACAAAACCAAATGCTACAATTGAAGAAGGATTTGGTCGAGCATATATGGACAAAATATTCTAGAAATTAAGTTTAAAATATTTGTGCTTTATGTTATTTATGTTATAAATTGTATCTCATGTATGTTTTAATTTCTTTAATTTGCAACAATTATTAAATTTTCTATAATTATAAATTTTATTTTTGTATTAATATTTTTTTTTCTAAGAACCACATGTTAAGAACCTACCATTAATCACACAAAAATCTTAACCCAAAAATACTATATCTTAACTATCACTTTTACAAATATATTACTTAAATATTCCTAAGATTTATTTCTAAGATACTACCAATAATCATGGTCTTATCCATATTTTTTCTGCATTTGATGTTACGTAAAACAACAAAACAATTGTCAAATGGTTTACTATTTAAAAGCATGAAAAGTCATATATTTTCTCTTTTAATTATTATTATTTATACATAGAAGTAGTATAGAACTCTCCACAGAAGAACGTTTTTATCAAATATTAGTTTGATATATAACATTAAGTTGTATTCCACTCTTGCCAGCTGAATAACATTGGGGTATGTAGATGCCAAGTCTTGGCATGCAGTTGGCACCATCCCATGAGAAAAAATAAAAACTTTTTGAGATTATAATAAAATAATATTTATTACATTTCCTAAATAAGGTGAACTCGTCATGTTATATATTCCGAAAGACAACACGAAATTAGTAAAACTTAAAAGGACTATATTCATACGTTAGTCTAATGAATAAACATTTCAATGGAGAATGATTGTACGTAAAACGTATACGTGTTTATACAAATATGTCTACATTGAATAATTTGATTCTTTTCAATATTATATATATTAATTTGCATTATGGCATATGGTCCTATAAATAAACACACTTACCTCTTGATCATGCAACACATGAAGTATGGCTACTTCAACCTACTCTAACTTCACCACTTTAGCACTAACCCTAATCTTGATCTTTCGTCTGATACCGGAAACCACCGCATCACGCCATCTGAATGGAAAGAATCCGGCGGTACTTGGAGTCACCACTACTAGCGAGAAATACATTGTTCCTCGGCCGTCACCGTTTTTTCGACCGTTTTTCCCACCGTTACCGTTTGCCCCTGCACCGTTCGGAGGGAATATCCCACGACCACCGTTACCTTCACCTCCAACATTTCTACCGCGTCTCCGAGGTTTCAAGTTTCCTCCCTTTCCGTTCCGAAAGCCAACGCCGCCGTAATCGTATACGTTGACGGCATCAAGTCTAAAACTGTAATGAAATAAATTATCTACTTTAATGTATTTTCTATCTCTATATATCACCGTTGATCATCTATAATTGATGGTAATATCATGGTATGAAACTGTAATAAAGATCACTGGTGTAGTAATATATTGAATACATACTATGTTGGATATATATTTTCCGATCTATACATATTTATTAATTTTCCATTTTTTCGAAAAGAGATATTGTTTTAATTCAAATGAGGCGAACCTTTTTTTATGTACAACAATATTAAGGAGAATAACGATCAAAACATAAAGAGAGAGGAGTAGTTTGCTTTGGAGAGAATATTATACGATTATGTAAAGCTTAGTTCTCGTAATATTGATGTAGTGTTGCCAACACAGTGTTGGAGTAGATTAGCAGTTCTGACCGTCTGATTGTGGAGTCTCTCGGATTGACACTTTAAAATCCGGCTTGCAATATATATATATATATATATATATATATATATATATATATATATATATAAATTAACGAATATATATCCTAATTAAAAATTACAGGCTTGAATATTAAAAATTGTATGAGGATATTAGTGACAAAGCTTCCTGTCACAATGATCCCATAATTTCT